ATCATCTTGGCCAGGCTGGGTTTGAACTCCTGACCTCATGATCTGCCCGCCTCGACCTCCCAAAGTGCTGGGATTACAGGTGTGAGCCACGATGCCCAGTCCCTTTCCTTTATAAATTACCCAGTTTCAGATGTTCTGTTATAAGCAACAGAAAACAGACTAGATTATTGCAAGACCTCTTGAGACTTGACAACTTAGGCCAGCTACCTTTCAGAGATCCAGCGGCCCATGGGACGTTCACGCATCTTGCTATGCCAGGCTGTAAACACAGGCCATTCCCAACACACTATTTTAATGTAAGTGACTAAAATATTTAACATCTGGTAGGTCAATTCCCCCTAACCAGTTTACTTTAATAATTTCCTGTAAGCTTACACTTTGCTATACATTTTTCTATCATCTTGTCTAGCTTCCCTGCTCTCTCCACATCTTTCTCCCCATACCCACAAAATGCCAAAGCACATTAAATTTAAATTCTGATTTGGGGAAAAGGATTTTTTTACTTCTGTTCAAATTTTATTTTGAATCTTTCCATTCAAGTTCACAGTTTTTCATTTAGATTTTATATCTTTATTTTTAAAATTATTGCTAAGATTTTATAGTTATTTTGTTTGGTTTTGTGTTTTTGAGACTCAGTCTAGCTCTGTCACCCAGGCTGGAGAGCAGTGGCGCTATCTTTGCCCATTGCAACCTCCACCTCCCGGGTTCAAGTGATTCTCATGCCTCAGCTTCCTGAGTAGCTGGGATTACAGGCATGTGCCACCCTGCTTGGCTAATTTTTGTGTTTTTAGTAGAGATGGGGTTTTGCCATGTTGGCCAGGCTGGTCTCAAACTCCTAAGCTCAGGTGATCTGCCCGGCTCAGCCTCCCAAAGTGCTGAGATTACAGGCATGAGCCACCGCACCCGTCCTTAAGATTTTATGGTTATTTTGAATAATTTTTTGTTTTTGTTTCTAAAAACTTTAGAGGGAAAAGTTTATTTTTTTAGTATATTATATTTCCAGCCACCTTAAATTCTATCAATCCTACTAGTCTGTTTCCGAAATGTCCTGGCTTTTCAGGGTGTACAATAATTTCATTTTCCACAAATATACTGATTAACCAATTGTTTTCTTTTTTAAAATTTATTATTACTTTTTGAGATGGAGTCTCACTCTGTCACCCAGGCTGGAGTGCAGTAGCACAATCTTGGCTCACTGCAACCTCCACCTCCCGGGTTCAAGTGATTCCCCTGCCTCAGCCTCCTGAGTAGCTGGGATTATTAGTGAGTGCCACCACGCCCAGCTAATTTTTGTATTTTTTAGTAGAAACAGGGTGTTGCCACGTTGGCCAGGCTGGTCTTGAACTCTTGATCTCAGGTGATCCACCTGCCTCGGCCTCCTGAAGTGCTGGGATTACAGGCATGAGCCACCATGCCCAGCTAATCAATTATTTTCTTCCACTATTTCCCTGGCTAGCACCTCTAAAACTGTCTTGAATTTAGTAGTAATAACAAACACCCACTTTCGTTAGTAATTTTAATGAAAGTGATTTCAACCTACTAAAATTGGTATCATATTTGCTTTTGGTTTTGAGGCATGTTTGTCTTAGTAAAATTGTTCTCTCCTATTCTTGTCAGTTTTATTAGGAATAACTATTAAGTTGTGTTGAATTGCATTGGTACCTACTTGATATAGCCATATGATTTTTCCCCTTTGTTAAATGTTCTCTAATCTTCAATGACTTCCCTTTTTGCTTAAGTCTTTATTTTGAGTTGATTTTTGTGTATGGTGTAAGAGTCAAATTTTATTTTTCATATGGATATACAGTCATCTCAACAACATTTATTTAAGAGACTGCCTTTTTTCCATTGTGTGTTCCTATCACCTTTGCCAAAAATAAGTTGACTGTAAATGTGTGGACTTATTTCTGGGTTTTCCATTCAGTGCAATTGGCCAATGTGTCTGTTTATATGCCAATACCATGCTGTTTTGATTACAATTGTTTTATTTATTTATTTATTGAGATGGAATCTCACTCCGTCACCAGGCATGAGTGCAATGGCATGATCTTGGCTCACTGCAACCTCCACCTCCTGGGTTCAAGTGATTCTCCTGCCTCAGCCTCCTGAGTAGCTGAGACTATAGGCATGCACCACCATGCCTGGCTCATTTTTGTGTTTTTAGTAGAGAAGGGGTTTCACCATGCTGGCCAGGATGGTCTCGAACTCTGGACCTCATGATCCACCCACCTTGGCCTCCCAAAGTGCTGGGATTACAAGTGTGGGCCACCAAGTCCAACCTACAATTTTTTATAATAATGTATTGAAATCAAGTAGAATATTTCCAGCTTTGTTCTTTCTGCTTAGGATTCATTTGGTTACTTGGGGCTTTTTCTGGTACCATACAAATTTAAGCTTTTTTTTTTTTTCATTTTTGCAGAAAAATGACATTGGACTTTTGATACTTATTGCATTAGATCTCTTAATGGTATTATGTACATTTTCACAATATTAATTCTTCCAATTCATAAACATGAGATATCTTTTCATTTACTTGCATTTTAGAAATTTCTTTCATTGGTTTTTGTTTTTTGTTTTTGTTTTTTTGAGACGGAGTCTCACTCTGTCACCGAGGCTGGAGTGCAGTGGCATGTGCAATCTCAGTTCGCTGAAACTTCTGCTTCCTGAGTTCAAGTTATTCTCCTGTCTCAGTTCCCAGAGTATCTGGGATTACAGGTGCACATCACCGCACCCAGATAATTTTTGTGTCTTTTTTTTTTTTTTTTTTGAGATGGAGTTTCGCTCTTGTTACCCAGGCTGGAGTGCAATGGCACGATCTCAGCTCACCGCAACCTCCGCCTCCTGGGTTCAGGCAATTCTCCTGCCTCAGCCTCCTGAGTAGCTGGGACTACAGGCACGCGCCACCACGCCCAGCTAATTTTTTATATTTTTAGTAGAGACGGGGTTTCACCATGTTGATGGTCTCGATCTCTTGACCTCATGATTCACCCGCCTCGGCCTCCCAAAGTGCTGGGATTACAGGCTTGAGCCACCGCGCCTGGCCTGTATTTTTTTTTTTATAGTAGAGACAGGGTTTCACCATGTTGACCAAGCTGGTCTCAAACTCCTGACCTCAGATGATCCGCCCGCCTCGGCCTCCCAAAGTCATTGGTGTTCTATAGTTTTTACTATACATGCCTTTTGTTATTTGGGTTAAATTTACACCTAAGTATTTAAATTTTCATTGATATTCTACATGAGATTTTTTAAAAGTTCTGCAGATACTTTATTGATATATAGAAACACTACTGATTTTTTAAGTTGATTTTGTACCTGCAACTTTGCTGAATGTGGGCATCTGTTCTAACAATTTTTTTGCCTAGTTGTTCTGGCCAGGAATTCCACTACCATGTTGAAAAGAAGTGATGAGAGTGAGCACCCTTTCTTTTGTCCTTGAGTTTAGAGGGGAAAAAAAACCTTTAACTTTTTTGTAGAGAATAATGTTTGCTAAAGGTTTCTTGTATATGACCTTTTTGTGTTGAGCTACACTTCCTCTATATTTAATTTGCTAAGCATTTTCTCCCAATCATCTTCTTTCCCACTCCTGCTCTTTTTCGCTCTCCTTAACTCCCACTCTCTTTCCCCAGAGCCTCTTCCCCATCATTTTCTCCCCAGAATCTTCTCCCCACAATGTACTCTATCCACTCCCTTTCCCCAAACTCTTCTCAGCCTCCTTTCTCTTCTTCCCCCAACTGTCTTCTTCCTCCCGTCCCCTCTTCTTCTTCTTCCCCTCTCCTTCTCCTTCTTCCTCTCTCCTCCTTCTCCCCCTCCTTCTCCTTCTTCCCCTTCTCTTTCTTCTCCCCTCCTTCTCCTTCTTCCTCTCTCCTCCTTCTCCCCCTCCTTCTCCTTCTTCCCCTTCTCTTTCTTCTCCCCTCCTTCTCCTTCTTCCTCCCTCCTCCTCCTTCCCCCTCCTTCTCTTTCTTCCCCCTTCTCCTTCTTCCTCCCTCCTTTGCCTTCTTCCCCCTCCTTCTCTTTATTCCCCCCTCCTTCTCTTTCTTCCCCCTTCTCCTCTTCCCCTTCTCCTTCTTCCCCTTCCTTCTCCTTCTTCCCCCTCCTTCTCCTTCTTCTCCCCTCCTTCTCCTTCTTCTCCCAACTCTGTTCTGCCCAACACCTTCTCTCCCATCCCACCATCTTCTTCCCCACTGCCTTCACCCCTCACCTCACCATCCCCTCCCACTCTCTGTCCACAAGGCTTCTCCTCCCTATGTTCTGCCCAGCAACTTCCCACCCCGACTGCCCACAGTCTTCCGCACCACCTTCTTCCCCGCTTTCTCCTCACTTCCTCTCTCCACTGTCTTCTTCCCCCATCTTCTCCACCCCATCTCCCCACCGTCTCTTCCCCCACTCCCTCACCCTGTCCAACTTTCTTCTTCCCCACCATCTTCTTTGCTGCCATGTTCTTTCCACTCCGTCTCCCCATCCCACCCCACCGTCTTCTTCCCGACCCTTTTCTTCTGGACTCTTTTCTCCCCCATCCTCCCTCCACTTTTTTTAATTATTTTATTTTCTTCTACTTCTTTTTTCTTTTTTTTTTTTTTTTTTGAGACAGAGTTTCACTCTTGTTGCCCAAGCTGGAGTGCAATAGGGTGATCTTGGCTCACTGCAACCTCTGCCTCCCAGGTTCAAGCAATTCTCATGCCTCAGCCTCCCATGTAACTGGGATTACAGGTGCGTGTCACCATGCCTGGCTACCTTTTGCATTTTTAGTAGACCCAGGGTTTCACCATGTTGGTCAGGTTGGTCTCGAACTCCTGACCTCAGTTGATCCACCTGCCTCAGCCTCCCAAAGTGCCGGGATTACAGACATAAGCCACCATACCCGGCCTATTTTTTATTTTCTTACATATATTTTGAGGCTAGGTCTTGCTCTGTGGCCCAGGCTGGAGTACAGTAGCACAATCTCAGCTCACTGCAGCTTCAACTTCCTGGTTCAAGCAATCCTCCCACCTCATCCTCTGGGATAGCTGGGACTACAAGGGCACATCCCCACACCTGACTAATTTTTGTATTATTTTGTAGAGAGGGTATCATGTAACCCACATGAGGATGCATGTGGGCATCATCCACGCCATTTTGGGCACCATTGGGCTGTACAAGACACCTGTCATCATTAGGGGATTGCCCCAGACATCTGAAACCTAATCTTTTTGGGACCTAAAGGCCACAGATGTCTTCAAATCAAGACCCTCTTGTGCCCAGGTTCTGGCCAACCAGCCCCTGAACCAAGGCCAGTGCCCCTATCTCTGCAGTGGGCACTTCCCTAAAATCCCAGCCTCTTTTCGGTGTGACCGGCATTCCATTAGGGGAACAGTTGCCCAAAATTGACAGCCCAGCCCTGAGGCCCAGGACAGCAAGGTTGGTCATCTGCAGCCAGAGCTGCTGGGCCCAGGAAGCTTGGCCCGTGGCAGAATGGAGACTGCCCTATGTGCCCTCTTTGAGCTTCCTATGTCTTGCTTTCGGTGTTCAAAACCACAAGACAGAGATGCCTTTTCTCTGAAGCCTGAGTGGCTGGGGGCTGCTCTCTCCTATCCCAACCCTAGATGCCTCACACATGCTTTTGGCTGGGAGATCATTCCATTCTGCATCTGCACAGAGATACTGCCCCCTTCTAGTTGTGGTGTTGATCCTCACCAAGAAGATTTCTTCTCCCTTGCCAGGTGTTTCCCAGTAGTGCTGGCTCTACCCTCCACTTCTTAGTGAGAGCTTCTGCTTCATCCAGCTTCCTGCACACCCTGCTTCCTGCCATGGCCCATTTTTGGCTCCTGATTTGGGAGGGCAAGAGGAAAAGATTCTCCTTCACTCTTCATCTGTCCCTCAGGAATTTTTGAAATGCCAGCGGCAAAAAATCACATCACACAGACTTAAATAGCAAAAGGAATGTACTCAACCATGTACCTGAAAAGCTCAGGGTGGACTTCAGGTGAGACTTGTTCCAGCTGCTCAATTATCACCGAGAACCCAACTCTTTATCTCTGCTCTTCCTTCCATGATGACAGCATCCTCCTGGTTTTCCTTTGGGAAATGGTTCTTTCCCCTGTGGTTCAAAAGAGGCTGACCTCACAAACTGCAGAGGTGAGGGTTCCACTCATAGACACCTCCCCATCCCTGCTCAGGGCCCCATCCTGGGGCCAAACTGGCCTGCAGGAGCCCTGGGCCTGGAGAGTAGGCCATGGAAGGCACAGCCTGCAGACATAAAGAGCTTCTTGGAGTAGCCTTAACTGAGGGGTGAAGAAGAGTGTTTCCTATGAGGGTACAGCCTAAGCAAAGGCATGGGGGATTGAGGCACAAGGTGGGATGCAGGGACAAGCCAGAGACATGGCTGCCAGGCAGGACAAGACAGGGCCCATGGGGGGGCCACAGGGAACAAGACAGTGTCAGCAGGGAGGGGCTCACAAGCCCCAGCTTCGGCAAGCAGACCTGGATCTTTCTTGTGGCAGGCTGTGTCCTGACCACGCGGCCTTTTCTGCAGCTGCTTCTTCCTCCCAAGGGACCCTGTCTCCCTCCAGCCCTGCCAGCCCTGTTCCCATCACCCCGGCCTGGTCCAGCTGCTCAGCTGTGCTCCAGGCCACATCTGGAAGTCATTAGCAGACAGCAGAGGGCTCCTGCTATCTGCACCCAGCCAGGAAAACAAACAGAGCTGGGGGTCAAGGGCATGAAAGGGTCCCCAGTCTTGGCCCTGAAAAGGAGACAGCTGGGAAAGGCAAAGGGGGGCGGGGCAGTAAGACCTACGCTGGAGAGCAGGGAAGGGAACTGAGAGGACATGCAGATTTGGGGGCTATGGTTTCTTTGCAGAGTAGAAAGGGATCTGAACTGGGCTCAGCAGGCAAGTGAAAGGAGGCAGCAGTGACAAAGGTGCCTACGGGTCACCATGGCCACAGCTCTGTCCTCACAGAGGAGGACACTCAGGCTCAGAGAGCTGAAAGGGCACCTCAGGGGCCTCGATGGGATGTGCAGGGCTCCCCTGGCCTTTCTGGGACCCTCCTCTGGCCATTATGATAACACGGGGGCAGTGGGAGGAGGTGACCCATCCAGGCTGGAGTGGAGAGGCAGCTGTGGAAGCAGTGCCCTACTGAAGACAAGGAGGAATGCCAAGGGCTGGCCCAGGGTGGGTGGAGCCTGGGGGTCCATCTCAGACCCTCTTACTGTTCTCAGAAACAGCACTGCTTGGACTCCATCATTACCCAAGAAATCTGAGGTTCTGGTTGTCAGACTGAGCTCGTGTCTACAGGAGTAAGCGTTGGAGTCAGGCTCTGGCATTGCTTGGAGGGCCAGCCCAAGCAGGTGCCTTGTACCCATGGCTTACTGAATTGTCACCACCATTTGGGGTAGCATTAGCCCATTTTACAGACAGGAGACTGTGGCTCAGCAACAAAGTCACCTATGCAAGTTCACAATCTGAGGACTATAGCCACCGGGGCTCTCCTGCCTCAGGCTCCCTCAGTCCTGGATAAATGGGAGGGGCCTAAGAATAAGTGAGAAGGGCTGGGCCAGCCTGCTGGGCCTTCACCCCATAGGAAGCCCACTCCCATCCATCTCCCTCCCCGCCAACACACTCTTGGGGTAAGTATCCTTGTTCCCAACCCCCGGAGGTGGAGCTTTCCTTGTGCCTTCTTATTTGAGGTCTGGGCACAGAAGGTAGGCTCAGTTGGAAGGACCAGGTGCTGGAACTCTGCAACAAACCTGAAACAAAGTTTCTTTTCTTCCTCCAGGAAAAGACTGAGGGCCATACTGTGGCTCCCCACCAGGGAAGGAGGGGCTTGGCCCAGCCATCAGCTACACTGGAAGAGAGCAAGCAGTTCTCAGACCAGGGGCCTTCTCTGTTTCAGGGCCTACAAGTTCCAAGTTTTGAACTGGTCTCTATGTTCATCTTCAAAATTTTGTCAAGAACTGGCTTCCAGTTTTCAGGGTGGGAAGCTTCCCGTGTGTCACCAAGACGGCTCCAAGGCCCTCCAAGCCACCTCCCTGGCTCACAGATACCACCCTGAAGACAGAAACATCATGCTGCTGTTAAAAAATATACAATAAAGAAGCAATGTAAAAAGATATGTTTCCAATTGGTGTTATTTGGAGTTTTACCTAAAATAGAGAGCAGATAAACCATTCAGAAGTATCTTTACGCCTAAACAGGCCCATCTCCCCTTCTCAGACTTGGCAGCCCTCCAGCCTCTGCAGGTCCAGGGTTTGAGGCTCCACCAAGAGTCATCAGACTTGGTTGGAGCCAGGTACCCTCTGACCCCCACTCTACCCTTCTTCCCACCCCCACACACTCCTCAGTCAACATGTGCTTACTGAGTACCCACTGTGGGCCCAGCACTGGTCTAGAATCTGGGACGATAGCAGTGGACAGAACAGACAAAGCGTCCCACCGTCACAGAGCTGAGGCTCCAATGAGGGAGGCAGACAGAAGCACACACTGTGCGCTGAGGGCGCAGGAAGGAGGGAGGTGTGGGGACCTGGGGAAGGGGCTGTGGTATATACAGTGTTCAGTGTTTGGGGAAAGTCTCACTGAGAAGGCAATGCAGGAGCAAAGACCCAAAGCAGTAACGGAGCAGCCTACAGGATCCCCGGGGAGGAAAGAGAGCTCCAGGCAGAGTGGGGAAAGGCCTGTCATGGAGCAGAAACATGTAAGGGCCAGCCGTTCTGTGCAGCTGCACTGAAGCCACTGAACAGGAAAGTGGCAGGGGAGTAGGAGGGGAGGCACTGAGCTTGTGGCTCTGAGCAGAGGCCAGACAAGACCTGGAGTCCAAGTCTTCATGTGGCGAATACACTTGTAGTGGGTTGAATGATGACCCTCTCACCCCCGCTAAAAGAGATATGTCCACATCTCAGAACCTGTGAATGTGATCTTAGCTTAATAATCTCAAGATGAGAACATCCTGGATTATCCAGGTAGGCCCTAAATGCAAGAATGTGTCCTTATAGCAGACACAGAGGAGAGACACAGGGAAAAGAGGAGACTGTCACGGACCATTAAGGTAGCAATGGAAGTTATGCATCCACAAGTCAAGGGACACCTGGAACAACCAGAACTGGAAGAGACAAGGAAGGATTCTCCCCTAGGCCCTTGCTGACACCCTGATTTGGGACTTCTGGCTTGCAGAACACTGCAAAGATAAATGGGTATTGCCATTGAGCCATCCATTTGAAGCAACTTGTTATGGCAGCCACTGGAAATTAACACTCACTGCAAGGGATGGGCGTGCAGGTGGGGAAACCATCATGGGGGGAGGGGTGCTACAAGACACAGCCACCCAACTGACACCCGAGTTCATCAGGCCTGCCATGGTCAGCATTTGCCATATTTACTCACCACCTGAATTTTTAAAAAATGTGTCTCTCTGCTTTCATTTAAATAAACATTTTAAAATGTAATATTATATCACTAAGTTAAATATAAAACTAGATTCATCTCCCATAAATAGAAGGGAACCATGAACGTTAATTCAATGAAAACAAAACTTACTCCATTCTAATGACACACCCTGCTACCCTGCCAAGGTCTCTGCGTCTGCAGCCTCCTCTTGAGTCTAAAAACATAAAATAGGACAAGTGTCAGACAAGTGTCAATGGCAAATTGGCATCAAAGAGAGATTCTCCTGCCATGTAACTCCATGTCACTATACCCTCTAAGGTCAACCACACCCCCACTTTTTAGGGCCCACACCTAGACAGCACAGCCCTCAAGGCCAAGGTCCCCAAGCCTCAGCTGACCCAGCCAGAGTGACTCCGAATGACACCAGCATACATAGATGGTGTTGGTGCACTAAATCCAGCAAAGTTCAGACTGAGGCATGCGGAATAGTGTTTCCATGATGGAATGGGGTAGGGGAGGGATTTGCTGCCCTAGGGAGATTGGAAGAAGGCAGTTACCTTGTATCAGGAAACTTGGGGAGTCGGGGTGGGGGAAGCCACAGGAGCCAGGCTAGGACCCAGAGCTGATCCCAGAGGAGATCCCTGTGAAGAAATGGTTGAAATTGGTGTGAGCTTTCCCTTTGGACAGTGGAGACAGTCCCATGATGAGCCCACTTTGGTTGGTAGTTTTAATGTTGAGAGAGAAAGTGAAGAGCACAAATACGTAGTTGCAGATCGGTTTTGCCCTGCACAGTTTCTAAGTCACATGCACTAACTCCAACTGGAATTTCTCAACCCACAGAGCCAAAACAGCACTGTGCCTCAGAGGGATTCCTGTGGCTGGGCTCCAGGGCCCATGAAAAGGAGGGACACAGGGCACCATGTAAATAGCTGTCTGGTTCAGACACAAGCTTCTTTACATCAAACAGCATGAAATTGTAGGAGACCCAAATTTCAAGCCAGGAATTCAGGACTGCGAGAAATGAGTGCCAGGTGACTTTGGTGTGCCTTGCAAGTGCAGTTTGCACCCTGCCCCAGGAGCTCGACAACAGGGGGGACCAACAGGCCTTCCTGATAGGGAGTGGCCCTGCAGGGTCACCTTGGGCTGGCCTTAGTCCTTTGCTACAGGTCTCAGCTCCTCCCTGACCCCAGCCGGACAGCCCTGGAGCACTGCACTCTCCCTTGGGCTTTTCTGTACCCTCCGCACACCTTAGTAGAGTCTCTTATTAAACTCCCCATGAAAGAAGGAGATTCTGCAATATTTGATAACATGGATGAATCCGGAGGGCATTTTGCTAAGTGAAATAAGCCACTCAGAAGGACAAATACTGCCGGATTCCACTTATATAAGGTGTCTAAAATAGTCAAACTCATAGAAGTAGAGAATAGAACAGTGGTTGCCAGGGGCCAGGGCTGGGGAAACTGGGGAATTGTTTCTCAATGGCTTACAGAGCCTCGTTATGCACGATGGAGAAGTTGTAGAGATCAGCTGTATGACGTAGTGCCCAGAGTTCATAATTCAGAATTGTACACTTTAAAATACGTTAGTCAAAAAAATTAGGTGGGTGTAGTAACATGTGCCTGTAGTCCCAGTGACTCAGGAGCCTGAGATAGAAGAATTGCTTGAAGCCAGGAGGTGGAGGTTACAGTGAGCTGAGATTATGTCGCTGCACCCCAGCTTGGGTGACAGAGTGAGATTCCCTCTCAAAATAAAAGAATAAATAAATAAATAAAAATACATTAGGAGGGTGGCTCTCATGTTGGGTTCTTACAAAAATAAAAATAGAAGAACACAAGGAAATCTTTAGAGGTGATGGATATGTTTAGTACCTTGGCTGTAATGGTATCCCAGGTATATTTATAGCTTCAAACTCACCAAGATGTATACATCAAATGTGTGCAACTTTTGTATATCAGTTATAGCTCAATAGAGCTTTCAAACGAACCAAACTCTCCTCAACTTACCATAGTTGAATGTGCCCCAGGAAACAGATCCTCAAAATAGTCTCTGGGATCTGGTTGCTCATGTAGTTGAGGAACACACAGATCACACCTCGTGGCCAGAGAGAAATGGGACATGGGACACCTGGCCTGTGGTGGCATCATGATTACTCAAAGGATGGCTGGTAATAGCAAGAGATAAGAGGCCAAGGCTTTGGAACAGCAAGTGGCTGCCACCCTAGTTGCTATAGCAGCCATGGGCCAAGGAATCGTATCTACCCTAGAGCATAATTTTTCTAAATGTGGCCCCATCCACAGGCCAGTGTCATCCACTAACTGCTTTTTGTTGGTCAGAAATGAGACAAGTTCAGAAATGGATTCAATTTGGAAACCTTTGTAGCATTTTGGTTCAGTTGCAACATCTCGGTGCATCCAAGAGCATAACCAGCGTTCTCATCACCAGGTTCTCATCTTATTGCATGAGATGCACAGTTTGAGGCTCCTGCAATGCAGGCCAGCCCTCGTCACACACAACAGGACTGTGGTATTACTACATCTGAGGTCTTAAGGTCAGTCTTTTCTGTGACTCCAAAGTATTTAAAGTACAGAATCCATTTTTTCCATTGAAAGATAATTTAAGCTTAACTCTTGACTTCTGCAACAAATTTTTGGGAGTGACTATCAGTGAAGCATGAGAGATGAACTGCGAAAAGACAGCGTCACCCGCTCCCTTCTGGACAAAAATTTAAAATGAATTCCCAAGCTTGCCGAGGTCAATTAAAAAATCTCTGCAGTAATTTCTGTCAGCACATTTCTGTGTGGCTGGCTTCTGCACCACCAAAATTACTAAAACAAGAATAGAAAAACTTAGATATGTTTTATCCCCCAGGGTGGTGCTGTGATGATTCAGCCTAGGTTAGATCAGTTAACAAGCAAAGAGCAAACTCATCACATTATCTCTTACAGTCACCAAAAATGGGAATCTCTGCTGGACTCCTTTTTGTTTACAGTTGCAAAATAACAAAAAGTTACTAATGTAACCTAATGTACGTTTCCAGTGATTGTATTGCTTTTATAACTTTTAACCATTTTTTTCCTGTGCTATTTATTCTAGTTATATTTATGGAAAAGTAATTTTATATATGTCCAATCTGATATTTTGTCTGCTTGTATTTTGTTTGTCTTGTTTTAAAATTTTTTTAGTAATTATTTTTTTTTTCTCGAGATGGAGTCTTGCTCTGTTGCCCAGACTGGAGTGCAGTGGCGTGATCTCAGCTCACTGCAAACTCCGCCTCCCGAGTTCAAGCGATTCTCCTGCCTCAGCCTCCAGAGTAGCTGGGATTACGGACAGGCACCACCATGCCCTGCTAAGTTTTATATTTTTAGTAGAGACAGGTTTTCATCATATTGGCCAGGCTGGCCTCAAACTCCTGATCTCAGGTGATCCACCTGCCTTGGCCTCCCAAAGTGCTGGGATTACTGGCATGAGCCTCTGTGCCCACCCTGTTTTTTAGTTTAGTTTTTTTTTTTTTTTTTGAGGCAGGGTCTCACTCTTTTACCCAGTCTAGAGTGCAGTGGAGTGTTCTCAACTCACTGGAGCCTCAACTTCCTTGGTTCAAGGGATTCTGCTGCCTCAGTCCCCTGGGTAGCTGGGACTACAGGTGCGTACCACCACATCCATATGATTTTTGTATTTTTAATACAGACGGAGTTTCAAGATGTTGCCTAGGCTGGTCTCAAACTCCTAAGCTCAGGTAATCCACCCACCTCAGCCCCCCAAGTCCTGGGATTACAGGCATGAACCACTGCTCCTGGTCTAGTAGTTTTATTATTATTGCTATTACACTTTAAGTTCTGGGGTACATGTGTAGAATGTGCAGGTTTGTTACATAGGTATACATATGCCATGGGGGTTTGCTGCATCCATTCCCCACCCCGTCATCTACATTAGGTATTTCTCCTAATGCTATCCCTCCCCAATCCTCCCACCCTCTGCCATCCTTCCCCTAGCCCCCCACTCCCTGACAGGTCCCAGTGTGTGATGCTCCCCTCCCTGTGTCCATGTGATCTCACTGTTCAACACCCACTTATGAGTAATTAGTTTTTAATGTATTTTACAGGTGATCCACCTGCCTCAGCCTCCCAGAGTGCTCAGATTACAGACATGAGCCACTGCACCTGGCCTAGAAACTTTTTAAAATGACCCTTCCACACAGATAGCTTGAGAAGCACCATGCTAGGCCCTTATTCCTAGAGTGTCCCTAGGAATAAGGAGAAATTGACAGCTACGCACATCCAAGTGCACATGCAAATGGAGGCTGGAAAGCTCCATGGCAGCCTTGACGGAGGTTTCATCTCCTGAGCAGCAAGGCAGATGTGGCTCAACACCAAGCCCAGGGCCTAACTGCAAAGGTGCAGCATTGCAGTGACAATTAAATGCTCAGTGTTGCTGGGGTCCATTACACATGGGAAGTACATGGGATCCTGGGACGTGGGAGAGGGATAAGTCAAATAGGCACAAATGAGACTTAGAACCCTGAAATCTCAGACTTCCTGAGTCTCTCTGGACAACAGAGGCAGTCCTCCAGCCCAGGGAACTGGCCTCCCTTAAGGAAGAGCCTTTCCATGATTCCACGATCCTGCCTGTGTATACCTATTCCCCTCGGAGCTGCTATGCCCACAGTGCAAATTACATCTGCCACAGCCAGACAGAGAGGTAGAGTCTCTGATTGCACAGGACAGAGCCAGGACCCCAAAGGTGTTCTACGACCTTGCCAATCCAGAGTGTCAGGGGCCCAGGGACTATGGGGAGTGGACAGGGGAGGGAGGACAGACTCCAGCGCATTTGGCCAAGGGGATGAAATGTGACATTGAGTCGGCCCACAGTCATTGATATGGATACACCCTATGATCCTGCTGGATTTTTGTTTTATTTTGTTTTTTGAGACAGAGTCTTGCTCTGTTGCCCAGGCTGGAGTGCTATGACACAACATCTGCTCACTGCAACCTTCCCCTCCTGAGTTCAAGCGATTCTCCTGCCTCAGTCTCCTGAGTAGCTAGGACTACAAGCAAGTGCCACCATGCCAGGCTAATTTTTGTATTTTTAGTAGAGAAGAGGTTTCACCATGTTGGTCAGGCTGGTCTCAAACTCCTGACCTCAGGAGATCTGCCCGCCTTGACTTCCCAAAGTGCTGGGATTACAGGCATGAGCCACTGTGCCCAGCTGGTCCTGTTGGATTTGATGTGCCGGCTGGAGATGAGGAAGAGAGGCTATCGGTCTGTGGGTTGGCAGACAGAACATGGCTGAAATGTTGGAACGTCTTGGCACACTGAGCAAGGAGTCTAGAGGCCTTGGAAAGTAGGCATTTGGGGCACTTCCTCTACTGTCGATACCCTTAGGTGGGTATTCACAGAAGCTGCCAGTATCATGCTCTGTGGCCATTTCAAGTGACCCACCCAAACAACTTGCCTCCAGACCACCGGGCCCCCACATTTCCAATTGCATTCGTTTCGCTTCCTGCCCAGGCAGGCAATCAAACTGTTTACCACTGCCTCTGAATCTGAGATTTTCACCCCTGGTCTCCCAGCAAAGCAAAGGCTTGGGCAGCCATGTTTTAACCTGCTGTTTCTCTTCTGTGCCACCACCCACTTTTTTTCCTACT